ATCCAAACACGTACACAATAAAAGACAGTGCTGATGAACCAATAATTGGTAGATTCTATGAACAAGAACTATATAGCGCTGAAGGAAGAGAACCTGATTTCAAAATAGAGAAAGTACTAAGAAGAAGAACAGTGAAGGGTAAAAAGATGGCTTTCATTAAGTGGTTAGGTTATGATGACAAATTTAACAGTTGGATACCAGCTGGAGACATTAAGTTCCTAACATAAGTTAAGGTATTATGGAGGACTACGATGACCGCGATGATACTGAGTTGGAGGAGGTAGAAAAAAGTTATCCTCAATATGACGATCTTAATTATGATGACCTAACGACAGCCTTTAATAGGTTAGATATAGGGGTGAAGGCTGAGGCTATGTATGGTGATGACCCTATAGTATTAACCGATCTTAAAAGTGAACTGGATTATGTGAAGAGTCTCATGGAGAGACGTGAAATAGAAGAAACAACTTTCACCGAAGGAAATGATGGTACAGTGAACATTTCAGGTCCATCAGGAAGCACAACCACCCCGGGAGTAGATTTTGTAGAAGATCCAAACAATGTACTTCCAGACGTGCTAGATGCATTCAACGAATCATTTGACGCTGACTGGGACGAAATAGAATCCCGCCTAGAGAAACTAAATAAGATTTCAACAGCGAATAAAAAGAGAGATTTTGAAAACCAGGTGGAGCGTGTTCAAGCTGTCACAAGAGTTATAAAGGGTAAGGAGGGACTGATACTAGATCCTAGGAATAGATACGTCAGGGAACTCATCAAACGATCATCTGTAAAAACACTCAAGGATGGCACAGAGGTGTTGGTATTCAGAAGTGAACAAGGTATTGACAAAAGTGGGACACAAATAATGAAACGTGGTAAGACCAGTAAACCTATGTACTCAAAGAGCTCACCTGCACTGAGAGAATACAAGGACCTTCTAAAGAAAATAAAAGAGGTACCTACAGATCCTGACGACATAATTGAAAGTGAAGAGCCGCAATTTAATGAAAGTAGTGAGGAATACGCTGACCGTGAGAACATTGAGTTAATAGATACAAGCGCAAAACTAGGAGACCTTCCGGGGCTAACAATACAGGAAAACAATGAACTGAGAGGTGTTCTTAACCCACCTGATGGATCAAGTTTAGAAAGCAGAACAGGTCCCAACGGAGCGTTACAAATTCAGGCTGACTACTTTAACGAAGCTATTAGTGAAACCGTGGAACGCGCCACATCTGCGGAAGGTACAACTGAGTATAATTCCCTTATAGAAAGAATTGACAGTTTGAAGGAAGCCAGGGATAGGACACTAGAACAGAGAACTGTAGAGGAAGCAAGAGAGGCACAGTTGGAAGATATTTCTAGATTACGTAAATTTATAGACTGGGTAGGAAAGGAAAAAGTGGGACTTGCAGGGATAGCAGTGTCAACAGCTAGTTTAATTACAGCATTATTAATCCATGCTAGGGGAGCCATTGTTAAGACAGCAAAGACCACTGGTAAAGTAGCAAAAGCATTAGCAAATTTAGCAAAGAAAGCAGGACCAATTCTAGTTCCAATCCTGAACGCAGTTGCAACAGCGCTATCATGGGGAGCCAAAGGAATTGCATGGTTAGCGTCTAACTTATGGGTTCTAGCTGTAGCTGCGGCCTTAATAGTATACAACTATTACACAAAGTAAATTAGCTATGGAGGAACACCAGGAGGAATATGATGACCGGAGAATGGAAGAGTTGAGGGAAAAGTATCCGGACTATGGAGAAATGGATATAGAAACTTTAGATAGCGAATTACCGTACCTTGACAAGGATCTTAGGGAAAGCGAAACTACTGAGGAGACCCAGGATATTAACGAGGAAATTAATTACGTACAGGAACTAAGGAGGAGAAAAATGTTAAGTGAAGACCTTACGAGAGAGCAATTAGCTGAGAAGTTCCCTAACCTATCTAATCTGTCATACGATGATCTAATGGGTAGGGGAGACAGACTGTTAAATGAACTAATACTATCCGATTTGGATGAAAACAGTTTCAAGGAAAAGTCGGAAGAACTGAGGTACGTTAGAATGCTATCAAATGATTACCAGAGAGAGTCAAACTTAAATAAACTTCTCAACTTAAGAGATAAAGTGAAAAAGAGGGACCTCATTAAACGGGATGATCGTAGGAGACTGCATAGGCTCAGGTTATGGGTAAGGGAGAATGCAGGCATCTTATCAGCTGTTCTAATTTCCTCATCAGCTGTAATCATAGGACTGGTAGCATCAACTAGAAATATATTGTGGAAAGTAGGTGACACAACAGGAAAGCTCGATAAGCGGATCAGTGAGTTGGTAAACAATCAAATAGAACTACCACCTGTATTCCAGAAGATAGCCGATGGAGTAGAGTTAGCAGCGGATAATATATGGATAATCATCGTTTGTGCAGCAGCAGTTTTATTATACCAATTCAACTAAACATTACATATTGTATAAAAGTATGAATACCACGGAAAGAGAACTAAAGCCTGGCTTCAGGAGGAGCCACATGACATCTATAAAAGGACTTAGAACTAGAAGTGTTGTAACATTTAATCCAACAACTATTAGCCCAGGTGAAGAGCTGTATATTAACATCCCTAAGCTAAAGCCTGACTCTTGTCTAGTTCCAGGATCACTTGCACTATTATATGACTTTAAAAATTCCAATACAAAAAGCCACGTTAATAATAACCTGTCTAAGTTGATAGCTAAACGTCTTCAGATCAAAGTAGCAGGTGAAACAGCTTATGACTGTTCGGGAGAGAGTTTGTACGAAATATACAAGGATCTATGGCTAACACTAGGTGATAGAAATAAGATGACCGAGCAGGGTCTTGCAAGTGAAAATCTCAGGAAGTTAATCTCAGGTGACGACATAGGGGTAAAAGTTGGTGATACCAATAAAATAGCGGATGGACTTCTTCACAGTGTGTACGGTTCCAAGTTGAGAAAACCAATTGATAAAATAATTGCGGACCATGGACTTTACGTACCATTTAATATGAATAATAGTCCTATGTACATCCTCACACTCCCGCAATCAGATGAGATTATGACTGCCCAAGGAGGTGAAGCTAAGGGTAATTATAAACTTGATAATCTTGAGCTAGAATACGAGACCATTGAGAATGACGCCCTTGCGAGTGAAGTATCAAGGATGTATTCAACAGGTCGCTCACTGTCCTACAAACATGTTACTCTTATGCGCACAAGTAATTGGGACAAGGATCTTACCATTGTGAATGAAAACATTAATATCCCCAGAAAGAGCATGTCAGCAATTGTCCTTCTATTTACCAATAGAGTGAGAACTGATTCTGAACAATATATTTACCCAAACATTGATAAAGTGAACCTAACCATTGAAGGTGTACCTAATGCAGTCTTCTCCCAAGGACTTCCTAAAAATAGGTTCTTCGAAGAGGCAAAAAGATTCTTCTGCCCTATGTGCGAGAAATCCATGGCAGACGAATTTATGTCCGTCAGCAAGTTCTTCGATAATGGTTTTGCTCTGGTAATTGATCTAAGATCAACACAGGATGATACCACTGGTGGAGGAAGGAGAATTGTTAACACGCAGTCTGGTGTACTCATGGAAATCAAAAAGAGAGCCACAACAGCTGACGTTCAATGTAATATTTTTATTGTATCAGATGCCCTCCTTAACTTTACTAATAGAGATTTATCAAGTATTCAATACTAGTTTGTACTAACGGTAAAGCATAGAGATGCAACTCGAACCACCATTCAACATGCTTATAGTAGGAATGACAGGAAGTGGTAAAACTCAGTTCTTACTAAATATGTTAGAAACGGAATACAATAAAGTTTTTGATTACATTGTTATTATATGTCCAACAATAGAATGGAATACAACTTACATTAATTGGGCTCATATTAGCGATCGCGGAGTTATACAAATTCCATGTTCGCAAGAAATGATCAATCTAGTTCTGAAGGCAGTGTCCACCATATTTCGTGGAACTCAAACTCTTATTATAGTGGACGATTGTGCAGCAAGTCAAGATGTAAAGAAAAGAGTCTCAGAACTGGTGCGCCTAGCTTTCTCCGCAAGACATTACAACTTATCCGTTATTGTAATTACTCAACAACTGTCCTCAGTAGCGAAACCATTCAGGGAGAACATTTCCAGGTTAGTTACATTCTACAACCCTAGTCGCAGGGATATGAAGGTCATAACAGATGATTACCTAAGTGGTGTTCCTCAGGAGACAATTGCGGAGATTACAAAAATACTGAAAGATGAGAAGTTCACCGCACTAGATATACTACTTATACACCCTTACACATACACCATCAAATAAAACATCGCGCATAATATAAAAGATGAAATCTGAATCTGATGAAGAAATATCTGCAGCTGTGAGGGAAGTAGAAGAGGCCGCAAAGGCACCGCAAAAGAAAGCTAAGTCTACCGCAAGAAAAACCGCAGATAAGTCGCAGACTGAAAGTAAAAGAGACAAGCTTATAGAGCTATCCAGGGATGGTGTAATAGAGAAGTCCGCAAGTTTTATAAGAAAGTCCAACAAGGATGTTGTGGATAGACTATATCATGAATATGAAAGTCAGAGGATGTCATATGCAAGTGACTTCTTATCAACTCTTATTATCTCAAAGTTTGCATCTATATTAGGAAGTTTAGGTGCAGTGGAATCATCAGATAAGCTATCAGAGGAACTACTTAGTGATAAGCTTCTAAAGGATGACGTATCATATCTAACAAGAACAATCTCACCAAACATTCCGTTTATAGGATTAATATCAGGTGGCTGCACAACGGCTAAGCACGTCGTTGCTCACAAGTGGAAAAAGAAGGAGAAGCCTGAGGAGATATCCGAGGAAGCTAAACATATTCTATTACATAGTGAAGAAGAATGTCTCAACTTGGAGAACCCTACAACTGGGGAAACGCTTGGGAAGGAACAGAATTCGAAGCCATAATTGATGAGTTAATTGAGAAGACTGATACAAACAGGGAAAAGCTAGATAAGATTCAGGAAACGCTTGACTCATTGGAGAGCATACTTAGGAAGAATCAGCTGGTGATAGGGTTTATAGAGAAGGACCTACATAACCTTAAGGATAAAGTCATAGGTCCACTTCAACATGAATACGAGGCATTCAGGGATGACACAGTTAAAACAGTTGTAAAGATATACAAGAAACTGAATGAGATGTAATATTTTATTTACCATCGGACATATATGGTATGCAGCTGGGAGGGCTAGAGGGAATGCTGCAACTAATTCAAAATTAATTCAAAATTAATTCAGAATTAAATAGCCATAAAAATTTTTACATATATAGTATAGAGAAAGATGAATAAACTATTCAGGAACCCAGATCTTAATGTTAGTGTGAGAACTATTATGTGTGGTGATGAGATACTATTCTATGCAAAAGATGTGGCGGAATCCCTAGGATACTCAAACCCAAAGAAGGCTGTTCAGGTTAACGTGTGGAACAAAAATAAGGTAAAACTTAGGGAACTTGGAGGTGGGACCCTTAAGGGTCCCACCTGCGTGTGGAATACAGGAAAGGTAACACCCCGGGAACTTAGAGATGGGACCCTTAAGGGTCCCATCATTAGTAGTCATCCAAACTGTGTTTTCTTAAGGGAACAGGGTCTGTACCAACTAATATTCAAATCCAGACTTCCAATAGCAGAGGCCTTCCAAGACTGGGTGGTTACGGACGTTCTCCCATCAATCCGTAAAACTGGATTGTACAAACTACCAGAACCCGAGCCACTATACTGCAATCAGATGAGACTAATTAACGAGACGGTTCTGCACTATGCAGTTGTAGAATATCTTAAAGATTACCACCCAAAAGCTCTAATTCTACCGGGACTAGGAAAGTATCAGGATACATCACGAAAGAGATGCGACGCCTGGAATAAGGGGTATCTAGGTGGGCAGCCTGATCTCACAATAGTTACTCCATGTAACGGTTTTAGAGGATTCGCAATAGAACTCAAGACCCCAAAGGGCACAGGTGAACTCAGAGATAATCAGGTAGCATGGATAAGAGAGTTAGGTAAAAACGGATTCCGAACACTGATATCCAACAACTATACAGAGATAGTGTTATACATAGACGAGTACTTTAGAGTTGATAATACAAAGAAACTCGTAAATGAAATAGAGAATCTTAAGATAAAGTGTAAGACGTTGGAGTCTAGTAAGTGTAAGGAAGTTGTAATTAAAAGAATTGGTTACACACCTGGTAAGTACTAGGTGAAGCCTGAGTAGTCGGTGCTGGATCTGTATACAGTTGATACAGACTTAGAAAATGCTCGGTAGAATCTACTGGGCATTTTTTAAGCAATCACGTCAGTCAACCTAAGTTATCTTACAAGTAAATTTAAGTTATCTTGTAAGTAGATTTAGATTATCTTGCAAGTAGATTTAAGTTATTTTACAAGTAGATTTAAGATATCTTGCAAGTAGATTTAAGTTATCTCATAAGTAGATTCAAGGTATCTTGCAAGACGAAACCCAGTTAAACCTAAGGTATCTTACAAGTAGAATGGAAGATAAACCTGAGCAAACTCAAGTAGTGACAAGTGAAAGGAAGAAAGACCCGAAAAGAGTAGCTGCAGGAAAACGATTAGCTGCAATCAGCAGAATAGCAAAGGAGAGGAAAAAGAAACTTGCAGAACCAGAGGAGTCATCAAGCAACAACGTGATCGCATATGTAGGAGTGGTCATCGCACTTATATCTCTAGTGTTAGCATTTAATCAGCATCAGAGGGAAACAAAGAAACCAGAACCTAAGTACATCCCTAAAACTGTAGAAGTAACCGGGAAAGCTGATACGCCCAAGTTAGATTCACTTGAATGATACGTTAAACATAATATATATTATAGCAAGATGAGTAAAGAATCAAAGATGACCGCGGAAGTGTACAACGCAGTGTTACTTACAGTAGGAGCAGTTGGTATATCAATGGCATCGAAGAAACTATTGAAAGAACCGTTAGGAACACCGGAGAACGTAAAAGGAATGGCGAAGTTAGCTGTCTCAGTTAGTCTTTCATCTCTGTTGGTCTCTTACCTGAAAGAAAAGAAGTATATACCAGATGACCCATTCAAAACCTAGGTAAGACTATACAATGGCGGGAGCAGTAGCAGGAGGATTATTTAACGCATTCGCATTTGCTGGAGCAGGATATCTATTTAAAATGTTTGACAAGAATGGATATGCTAAGGAAGCCCACAGACACAACATTGCGATGGAGAACCTAACAGCTGAAAGAGAGAAGTACCTTGAAGAAGTCACCGACAGGAGAAACAGACTTGCGCAACTCAAGGCCGAACTAGCTGAGGCAGATAAGGATATTAACGCAACAAATAAGTCACTGGAACTCGTTAGAAGAATCAATGAGTTAACACGTAAGGCTATGCCAAGAAAGCCGCAACTAAGTAACCACTACAAACCTAGCTCAGAGATGGAAGAATATATGGCAATATTTGGTTTAATTATAGGTGGGGTGGTTGGAGGGGCAGCTTATTTATTAATTTAATATTTTAAATTACCAGACTAAATACGGCAACTTACTTTCACATATATAATATAGAGAAATGGACCGACTTACAAAGGTAGACGTTGATGAAGCGGTGACCTCAGGAAAAAGGGTGGGCATCATAGTAGAAATGGACTGGCTTTCAATGTTAGACGTTGACGAAGTGGTGGCCTTGGGAAAAAGGGTGGACACCATAGAAGAACTAGAGGCTGCAGCTAAAATATATGTGGAACGGAGAATAACAAGGAGACGAAGGAACAATCAACATTCCAACACATATAGTATAGGGAATGGAAAGAGTCGGTAGGAGGGTTGTACATACATACGAACCGGAATGTTTCGAATGCGGTAGTAAGTCTATTGTAATATTAGATGGAGCAGAGGTATGCACACAATGTGGTACAAGTGACAGGAATGGCTTCACATACTATGTTAGTTACAACCACAACAAGGACGACTACCTGAAAAAGAAGTCTTGTCATAACAGAGTCCGTTGGTTTGAGAGACACTTATTAGAGCATGTTGCTTCAGGGGATAGGGATACCATACGGGAGCAGTTTAGAAGCATCGTAAGATGTATACAAAGACTTAGACTGCAACGGGGGCGCAACATAGTTAGATATAAGTTTTACCTACTAAGGATAGCCAGCATGAACAACATCACGTTAAGAAATCCTCCTGGGGACATTAAGACTAAAAGAATTGTGGACATCCTTGATAATAGGTTATATGGTAAAGTCTTCCCCGAGTTGGGATGGAAACCCATAAATTGTAAATATTATAATAACTGGGAATTAAAGAATAAAATATTAAATAAAAATTAAATAAAAATTAAATTAAATAAAAATTAAATAAATATTAAATTAAATAAATATTAAATTAAATAAAAATTAAATTAAATAAAAATTAAATTAAATAAAAATTAAATAAAATTAAGTTAAATAAAAATTAAATTAAATAAAAATTAATTACTAATTAAATAGCCCATTAAATAGGGCTATTTTTTTTTACACATATAATATAGAGAAAGAGTGAAAAAATGGAGAGCAACTTTGATATGAACAATATGACCGTCGAGCAACTTATGGCACTTAGTGAGATAGTTAATGATAGCGACTACGAGGAAAGCTTTGAGGATGAAGTGATGAAAATCTCAGAGGACAAGTTCTACCGTGTCAAACCAAAGGACAAGGGAGAGAACGTCTTCGCTGAAGAAAAGCTTTTCATTGATGAAGGTGATAGAGCTACAGATCCTAAGAAACCGAGAAGGCTACCATTAAACTACAAGGGCAAGAGAGGAATAATGCCGACGTGGAAGTATTCTGAGAGGCAGAAGGCAAAGGCCGTACTAGTTGAGGAAGCATATCAGAGTTTACTTAGCAGAGGAGTCAAAGGTTTACCACCGACAATGGGAGGTAGATGGAGAACCGATGATCCTCAGGTAAACGCTGAGATGAAGAGGCTAGAAGACCTTAGGAACCCTAAGCGTCCAAGAGGCAGACCACCAAAGGCTAAGGTTGAAGGTGAAGTAACCACCAAAAGAAGTGGTAGACCACCAAAGGCCAAGGTTGAAGGTGAAGTGATTCCTAAGAGAAGAGGTAGACCACCAAAGGCCAAGGTTGAAGGCGAAGCGATTCCTAAGAAAAGAGGTAGACCGCAAAAGGCTAAGGCTGAGGTTGAAGTGGTTCCTAAGAGAAGAGGTAGACCACCAAAGGCCAAGGCTGATAAAACCAAGGAAGTTGCTGTTCCCAAGAGAAGAGGTAGACCACCAAAGGCTAGAAAACAGACTGTGGCAGAAAGATTCATAAGTCAGGGTCAAATAAGACTATCAGTTCTTCAGACAGTGTGATAACACAGGTGGGACCAAATAAGTTCACGGTGACAGTGGATCTTAGCAAGAAACCCACAAGAAAAGCTCCTGAAGTGCCAAAAGGTGTGACTCCATGGAAACCAACACCAAAGCCAAGAACTGTTATTCCTAAGGAAAGACCTGTTCCGAAACCCAGGACTAAGATCATTAGGGAAAGACCTGTTCCGAAACCAAGGACTAAGAAGCCAGTGCCTCCTCCAAAGTTACGGAAGCCTGTAAAAGTGACTAAGGAAGTTGAGGAGCAGCCTGCAGTGGTTACACCTGAGGAACATGAGATTGATCCGTTTGGAACATACCTTAATAAGCCTTCATATAGGAAAATAGAAACTGCCGCAAATGGAGCAGCTGTAACATACTCAATAACTCCCGGCTATATGGACCCATTAGACCAGATGACAGCAAGTAGGCAGGTGGTGAGGGAAATACTAGCAAAAGAGTTGAAGAGAATGGGAGGTCTGAAATACACGGAAACAATCAAGGTGAGAATGTCTAAGGAAGTTGGTAATGACAAGACAAAGAAGGATTCAATTTACTTCAAGTCTAGAACTGGAACTGCAACAAACTTTGAGGATATCGAAAGAACTGCAGCACAAAGCCAACTGACAATATTATCCAGAATTGAGACATTCCAAAACCTAGGCTCAAATTGGATTATACTAAACATTGAGAGCCACTACGTTAATATCGCAATGTATAAGCCTCTAAAGGGTAGTTCGTATATGAAATTACCCGCAGACATTAGTAATCCAAAATGTGGTCTAATTAACATGAAAAATGAAGATAACAGATGCTTCATGTGGAGTCATGTGAGACATGTGAGACCGAAGGCCAGGAGAGCAACTACCATAACACGAAAGGATGTTAAGTTCTCGGAAAACTTAGACTATGAAGGAATAGACTTCCCAGTGAAGATAAGCGACATTGATAAAATTGAGAGGAAGAATTCAATAAGCATATCAGTGTTCGGCTATAAGGGTAAAAAGCAGTTCTACCCAATCAGAAACTCTAAAACAAAATATGACGAGCATATGGAACTGTTACTCTTAGGTGATGGTAATGGAAACAACCACTATGTCCTAATAAAAGACATCAACAGAATGCTGTACAGTGTAAGTGGATACGAACATAAGAAGCACTTCTGTCTGTACTGCCTACATAGTTGCAAGAGTGAGGAGCTGCTGAAGAAACACAAGGAGACATGTCTTGAGGTAAACGGAACTCAGGCCACAAAGCTTCCAAAGGAAGGTACGAAAATAAAGTTCAAGAATCATAGGAACTCAATGCCTGCACCGTTTGTAATATACGCCGACTTTGAGTCTATGTTGGTACCTGAAGAGAGAAAAGTCGACTCAGAAAGCTCCGAGGAAAAAAGTACTACAGACCTCTACCAGACCCACAAGGCTTGCAGTTTTGGTCTTAAAACAGTCTGCCACTATGATGATCAGTACTCAGGTGAATACATAAGTTACGTTGGTGAGGATGCCACAAATGTCTTCCTGAAGACGGTACTGAAGGAGTCCATAAAGTGTCGGGAGATGGTGAATAAAATATTCAAGAAGAAGATGGTAATTACACCTGAGCAAGAAGCTGAGTTCTGGATGACGCGGAACTGCTCCATATGTGGTAACGACTTAGGAGACGATAGAGTGAGAGACCATGATCATGTAACTGGAATGTATCGTGGAGCTGCTCATAATATGTGCAATCTTAAGTACAGAATTACATGGAAAGTTCCGGTGGTCTTCCATAACCTAAGAGGTTACGATAGCCATCTAATAATGCAGGAGATTGGGAAGTTCAAGATGAACATTAATGTTGTCCCAAATAATATGGAAAAATATATTTCCTTCTCACTTGGTAAAAGTCTCGTGTTCATTGACTCAATACAATTCATGGCTTCTTCCCTAGAAGCACTTGTGAGTAACCTTTCACCCGAAGACTTCAGGATAGTTGGTAAGAGGTGGGCTGGTGAGGACTTCAAGCTCGTGACTCAGAAGGGAATATTTCCATATGAATATTTGGACGACATTAGTAAACTTGACACTGAGGGTCTTCCAAGTAGGGACAAGTTCTACTCTTCGCTGTATGAGTCAAAGGTGAAAGAGGAAGATTACCAAAGAGCTTTGAAAGTCTGGGATCACTTTAAGATGAAGACTATGAGAGACTACCACGATCTCTACCTGGAAACCGACGTTCTTCTTCTGGCTGATGTCTTTGAAAACTTTAGAAGAACTTGCTTGGAAAATTACAAGCTGGACCCGGCACATTACATATCAGCACCGAGTCTAAGTTGGGACGCATTCCTAAAACAGTCAGGTGAGGAAATAGAACTGGTGAGCGATATGGACATGTTCCAGTTCTTCGAGAAGGGAATGCGAGGTGGGATAAGTCATATTGCCCACAGACACTCTGAGGCTAATAATAAGTACATGGAAACGTATGACGAAGAGTCTGAAAACAAGTTCCTTATGTACCTCGACGCCAACAATTTATATGGCTGGGCAATGTCACAATCACTCCCTAACGGTGAGTTTGAGTGGATTGAAAACCCTGACGAAATAAACTTAGACGATTACACTGAAGACGGTAAAAGGAGTATGGTTCTGGAGGTTGACATGGAATATCCAAAGGAACTTCACAACTTACATAACGGTTATCCGCTAGCACCGGAGAGTAAGGAGATAGGTGCATCAATGTTGTCAGACTACGCAAAAAGTATTGCTGATAAATTCCAGCTGACAATTGGAGGAGTAAGAAAACTGGTAAACTCACTTGGTCCCAGGAGAAACTACGTCCTACATATTCGTAATCTTAAACTGTACATGGAGCTTGGAATGAAACTCACAAGGGTACACAGAGCTGTTTCATTTAAACAAACCCCCTGGCTTAAGAATTACATAGACTTCAACACAAGGAAGCGGTCAGTTGCACGAAACACCTTTGAGAAGAATTTCTTCAAATTGATGAACAACTCAATTTACGGAAAGACTATGGAAAATCTTAGAAAAAGAGTTGACGTGAAATTGGTGTCATCGGAAAATGATCTACTAAAACTCACAGCGTCTCCGTGCTTCCAGTCACATAGAATTATGAACGAAAACTTAATAGTTGTGAAACAGACGAAGGAAGTTCTAACTCTAAATAAACCTTGCTACGTTGGGATGAGTATCTTAGATTTATCAAAGACTCTTATGTATGACTTCCACTACAACACGATTAAGAAGGAGTACGGTGACAGGTCAAAGCTGCTGTTTACAGATACGGACAGTCTCATGTATGAAATAAAAACCGACGACGTGTATGAGGACTTCAGGAGGATCGGTGAAGAGCAGGACTGCTGGGACAACTCAGATTATCCAAAAGATTCCCCGTACTACTCAGCTCACAACAAGAAGGTGATTGGTAAGTTTAAGGACGAAGCTGGAGGAGTACCAATTACTGAATTCGTTGGGTTGAGGTCGAAGATGTACTCCTACACAAAGGAAAGTGGTGGAGGTGGAATGACTGCTAAAGGAGTGAAAAAGTACGTGATCAGAAACAAGCTCACTCACGAAAACTTCAAGAATGTAATTAAGACAAGAGGCTTGATGAGACATAAGATGAACACGATCAGATCCGTCAAACATAAAATTGGAACTTACGAACTGAAGAAAATTACACTGAGTTGTTTCGATGACAAACGGTATTTACTTGAAGACGGAATTACAAGTTACGCGTACGGACACCACTCAATAGAAAATTAAATACGATAATAAAGATTAGAATAATAGATAGGAAAATTACACAAAAAAATACAAAGGAAAAAATGGTCTGGAAAAAAAAAAAAAAATGGTCTAGAAATATGAGCCCTAGCATATGATAATAATTCTTGTAAATAATAATGCTGAAAAATAATAGAAAAATAATAGAAAAAATAACGCCAAAAAATAATAGATAAAAAATACCAAAAAATAATAGAAAAAAATGGTCTAGAAAAATATGAGCCCGCGTTTTCGAGGGAAAAATATGGAAACCGCTGACCGGAAGTTGGGTGAGATCGCGGGCCGAAAAAATGGTCTAGAACCGCTACTTCCTATACTACTCTAGATATTAAGAATGATCATCGAATCAACGCATACCCCAAAACAAACTGATAAAAATAATTGAGTTGACTATTATTTAATGATACACATACATCAGAATATGCAGGTAATGATGCCAGTTTTAAAAGGACACAATGTTTTTCATTTTCATTTCCACAAGAAATAAAAAGCGTCAACAGTGAACCATTCCATGCTTGAAACTGTTCCGTCGTAGCCCATGTCGTAGCAAACTAAACCCGGTTTTTTAAAATAAAAATTATTAAATAGAGAAATTGAACTATCAGTTTACAACATTTATAAAATTCGAATTGAACAGACTTCTGTTCATTGCACTGTCGCCCCAATGGCCACGTTTGCATGTGGTTATCTGCTCATGTTTATTGTACAATGAGGATAAGTTTGTGATTGGTCTCAAGATCAAAGAGCAATATATGCGTGCACGAGACATGGGGATATAAACTTCATGTGCGCTTGTCACAGCCTCGTCCCCGGCGCGTGAAGGTCTCTCAGGAGAAACACGCGTGGGCGGGAGAAGGGGAAATGGCGCGTCGCAAACCCCACGCACGTACTGGAGCCTGGTGACGAGGCTGCGCTTGGCATGCTAAAACGGGCTAACCCGTTTTTCAAAATTACAAAGGTAATTAGCAGAGTAATTTGGAAAATTCCAAATGAGTTAGAAACTCAAAATAGGAACGCTTCACGTAGTTTACCTGTAACTCTATTATATTGCCTCTTTGGTTGTTGATAGAGAAAATATTGTCTGCATCGTATCTCCATTCTGTCTGGCCATCTCGATTGAATTTAAATTCCTTGTTTACTTCGCAATGGTGATCATTATCTTTAAAAATTGGAGCAGATATGCTCAGTTTGGGCATGATTATACTGTAATTAAGGTATTTTATGAAAGAGCCATCAGAGAAACGATAACAGCCTGTGAAAAGAATAACAAATGAGAAATACTTAATCATGCTTCCATCAACAAATATATTTGACATTCATTATTTTTTTAGACACGTATAATATACTACACCTTTGTAGGTTGTGCTTATTTCACACGTGGTTTCTTTATTTCTCCATAGCTGAGGGAACTCCTGTTCTGCTAACTTGTGGGAAATTGCATACTCATTTTGGGAAATTCCATATTCACTATATAAATGCAAAACTCGGCTACCGCCCAATCCAATTTCGATTTCATTTTGTTCTTCACCAAAATCTGATTCATATTTGGCCCATTCAGTGCACTGCATTGTTTGCCGTTTATTGGTGGTATTACATTGTCTCATGATCATTTTTTCCCATTGCCTCGTCTTTGCATGCATTCAAGAGTTTTAACATTTATAAGTCTATTTCCTGTAGCGGTCCATATCCATATCCAAAGCATATCGAGAGTAGCCATTGCTGGGCAACTTGTCCCAATGACATTAACATTGCTTGAACTACTATTCAATTTTAAACACTTGTCATATTCGATATTCTTGAGCCAAAATGCTTTTTCGGGAACTGCCAAAATAATAAGATATTGCTATTCTTTAGTTAAAATTAACAAAAGTTATGAAGCGATGTAATATCAAAATTATATTCTGGGGCCGCGGTTTGTGGTCATGTGGAGTCAAAGGCCGTATAGCGCTTATAGTGATAGTATACGTATATACAGCTGTTTCAATTAAGGTTGTCCCCCGAGCAAAGCGGAAAAGTCGAATACGAGCCCGAAAGGCTGCTTGGAATCGCTAATAAATCATCCGAAGAGAACCGAAGAACATAAATAAAATACAGTAAATTACCTCTGCGGAGGAGAGAGGAATTTATATATGACATAAATATACCACAATAATTTAAAACTGTCGGTGTTAAATGTCACTCGTGTCATCCTTTGTCAAGCCTTGTAGATAAACATAAAATCGAACAAAATGTCAAAATGACATTTAAAGAATACGATTTTTTGCTTCAAATGATTAAAAATATGATATAAAAGATGAGTAAACAAATTGGCCCCCATTTCGCCAACCAGTTTGGATAAAAAACGGTCATTTTTAAAATAATGACGTCATATACAAGAAAGAAAACACAAATTCGAGAAATTTTGAAATTTGGCAGTGTAATTAGTCAAACACTCATTAGTAGAGAAAAAAATTATATTACACATATAACTTCAATGTTTTCATTGAAACGTTATAGCTAATAGAAGTTTTTAAAAATATGCTGACTAAGCATTTTTTGAAATTTTTTGAATTGTGGTTGAGATGCAGGAGTTGTACCACTGTTTGGCACTGAAAAACAGCGGTGTCGAAGATACAACTATCAGGTGATTTTAATTATTTGTGTTTTTTAAATCTGATATGAATATATAAGTTATAAAGGTTCTAATTAACATTGTCAATATTAGTCCTTCATCATTTTCATATGCATCTTTGTCATCAAAGTCAATGGAAAAATCATCCCTCTCAGACCTATCTTTGTTTTTGCAACTATCCGAACATTTACACAAATCAGTGCAATTCAGGTTTGCTTTCTTACATGAGCACCGATTAGACTTGCAGCCTGTTTTGCAGGAACAGTTCACGATCTCCTACACGCTATCCGGTGCCACTGGAAGAGTCATCCACTTGATGCATAACTGCCCATTCTTGATGTACCAGCTATGTCCATCTGGACTTCCTGCAGTTATCATTTGCACCATACATCGACGTCTGACATAGCTTTCGTAGTTTGCACGATGTATATGCTGCACTAAGCTGTCTGAAGTTGGTGGCAGTGTTTCTTCAGTGCAATTTCCCATTCTAAAAAGGTTATGTCGAGCATTATCCACATATCGATCTCATTTTCTTGTCCGTATAAGTGACAAACAAACTTTTGTAGATATGACATTGTGCCCTTGGCCTGGTCAACTGTCATTTGTTTGCCCAGATCTTGAAAGGCACGAACATACTCGACTTTACTGCGTGCAACTTTGAGGCATGTCGCCTTTCCTTTTCCAGTAAAAGAAGACGTTGAATCAGATCCTGAAAGGGGAATTGATAAAATATTAATGTTATATTAAAATGTAAAAAAGCTCACAATTTGAGTGTGAGAGGCGATGAAAGTTGCAACCTCTGTTTGAACGTCAACTCTCATTTAAAAGAAATCTGGTCACAAACCTGTGAACCAATGAAATCCCAAAATAACATCGCACCACGCCTCGCTAAGTTGCTCAGAAATATTCATGTCTAGGATCCTTCTTTTGTTGTTGAACCATTTGTACAAACACTTTAAACAAATCATTCATAGACTTGATTTTTTTGCCTTGTATGATTTTCTTTTCCACTTATTTCTCACAAAATGCATCAAAGGAATCTTTATATATATAATAGTTTTGTTTGTGGAAACACCACGTAAATTTATTACTGCATAATAAATTTCTGCATAATAAATTTCTGCATAATTTATTTCTGCAGTAATAAATTTACGTGGTGTTTCCACAAACAAAACTATTATATTTTATCACCATGCAAACATACAAAGAATTTATAATCTTTATATAGTTCCCTGCAACAACCATCTGTCTTACTATTATAAAATACAGGGTTGGTGTATGCCTTGAAACATTTATCATGATATCTGACCTCAATTACCGAGCAATCCAAGTCTCTAATATGAACCAATAAGTCTTCATCGGCCTTTCGTAGTGGCAGTAATGTTGTTTTTAATGTTGTCTGAAAGTAGGATTTAATAATCTGATATAAGCTGATAAGCATTAGTGGATTAGTTACCTGATGGAAACTTTTGCCTGTAGGCTCACAGCATACACACATTATACAGCAGTACAGTACAACTGTGAACAAAAACAACGAGAAATATTGAACATAAAAAACGAAATAAACATCAATATTTAAACACTTACTTTACATTTACCCCATGCTGTTGACTTTTTGCATATTATGCATTTGGCAGGCAAGATGTTTCTGCTGCATCTGGAACTACCAATAACTGTGCCTTGTGACAAATCATCCTGTTTTTCCTGGCTACGACACCTTTGGGACACACGGATGTATTTGGCAGCTGGTTCACTAACTTCACTTTCGATATCGCTCTCTGATGCTGGTTGTATTTCGTTCTTGGGATACCTTTCAGCCTTCTCCAACTTTGATACGTTCGCCACTTTACGATGACATTCCATATGGTAATAATAGCCATTGGCAAAACTTTCTTTCTCGCCTTCATTCGAGATTTGAGTAAACTGATTTTCATAATTTTCGGATATTATTTGGTACGAGTTTCGACACACATCGCCAACATTATTACTTAAATTTATTCAACTTTTTCTTAAGGTAATAAGCTTTTCAAATGTTTTACTACTAGCTTTTTAATTGTTCATCTTTGCTCCCAACGAAGTGCACAGCACATTCTTTGCTTGTTATGTATCAGTCAAATCCAAGCGTGCCCATCCCCCCCCCAGGGCAACCCCCCGGGCTTTTGACAATTTTTGAAAATATGCAACAAATTCCCAGGGGCGGGAATAAAAACACGTGAAAATGCCTGGCAGTGGGGCAAAAAATCAGTAGCAAATCCCCCACCCCGGGGACAGCTGGACTGTTTCGCTAAGAAGAGCAGATTATCCAATTACCTGAAAATATAAAAGAGAATACTTTCTTCGATCGGCCAAGTATATCGCCCAAGTATTTCGCCTGCGTTGCAGGCTACCAAGCATTGTGCGTCATACTCTAGCGCGTTTTCGTCATGCTCTAGCACATTTATTTTTAAAGTTTGGCGTGGTTCGAATTTTAGCGTTTTAATATTTTAGCGACAACTTGAGTGGTTTTATACATCATGGAAGAGTTTGGAGGGAAAAACATGGAGTTGGTTGCAAGTTGGCTGACAAAACATAACAGGGTATTTTGGGCACGTATAAAGTAATCAAAATTCTTAATTTCAAATGCCCCGCCCCCGGGCAAAGGTTTGAGTTCAAATGCCCAACCCCCGGAACGTTCTTTCTAGGAAAATGCCCCGGGATAGCCCGGGGGGGGGGATGGGCACGCTTGGATTTGACTGATGCATTATGGCAGCCATATTGTATTGTCCTCTAAAATAACATTAGCCAAGATATGCCAAACCGGAAGTATTGGCGCAAAAAGTGGATTTTGCTGAATGTTATGAATTGCGATCAAAGACAAGTAAACAAGCGGACAACTGAGAGCGATAAAATACGATTTTGCATCGCTGATTTTTAAGGAAACTGGTTGGTTAGCACGGGGCCACTTTTTAGAATTTTGTTTGTGCGGTGCAAAACAGCACTTTGACGTAAAAAAATGTATTCTTTAAATGTGTCCAGCAAAACTAAACGATATCGGTCCATAGCCGGCGGTCTATGTGTTGTAATTGATGTAAATGTTTAGTTTAAGGGACCCTGTATGTGAATGGGGCAATAAGCCCTGTAGTGATCACCAGTCATTTATGACAAAGCTCGTAAATAAATAAGTACGTTATTTTTCAATATTTGTAAAATATGCCATGACTGAACAATAGCATGCATAAATATGATAACTGCAAGGCGCTAATGACCATGAGTAATTCAGTCACCAAAAGACAGCCTACTATGAAATGCGCATGCCAAGTAGACAAAAGTAGCCTACTAAAAACACCGCGGTAAAACGTCTGCGCGTGCGTCAACCTTACCTGTAATAGTATTGCGAACTTGATGAGAAGCTGTTCCGAACGATTCCGAAGGCTCAAAATGGCGGTAAAAAGGAGTGACTTCATTATGCGTCTTTACAGCCAGATTTCGAGCGCAAAAATAAACATGTCATTCTAAAAACTAGGAATAAATACAGCCAGAAGGTTCAAGAAATTGTATTGTACAAGAACATGAACTAAAGGTGATTGTTGACAAATTTATCGTCTGAAACATTTTGTTTATCAACTAAGCAACGACAATTTCCGAATTTTCGTTTGAGATACATTTCTTTAAAAAAAACTGTGTCGCCAAATATAAAAAAAAATTCGTGTTCACAATAATTAAACTTTAGGATTTATTCTACAATTTGAGTGGGTTAAGAAGGATTTAGGATTTATTCTACAATTTGAGTGGCTTAACTTTTCGAGAGTTTGCTTAACTTTTGAGTTTGAATTTTTGTTTTGAATAATTTTACAAAAATTTTCGAAGTCGTGTCCGTTAAAATCAACAATTTTTTACAAGAATTCTATTTCATTCCATACTTTAAATGCCAGGACGCTTTCAATTAATGTCTAATCTACCCATTTGCTATATTTTCTCGTTTGTTTTACTAATTTTTGACCAATTAATAAGCATGTTTTTGTTTTTGAATTTTGATAATTTGGTGCATGCGCAGACGTTTTTCCGCGGTGTTGCATGGAATTGTGGTGGTGGCGCTTTCTACGCGCAGAACACAAATTTTAAACTCGCTCGAGTCTTCGAATTTTTATCGAATTTCTAAAGCTTTTTCAAGTCTAATGTTACGCTTACATTTGTTTTGGACTTTGGCCACTTTCAGCTCTATATTTTGGTTTCTTAGTGTGATAAATCTGTGTATTATATAGTCTTATTAGTCTATAGCCTGCGAACAGGCTCTCAAGCTGAATTGAGAGCCTGCATCGATGACTAATGAATTTGAATATCTGCCCCGTAACGTTCGTTTTTCCAAATATGGAATGTCTATCCTTATATGGTGTTGTTTACAACTTTCGTGCA